GACTTGGGTTTTCCTAAGCAGTGACATTAGACATTCATCCTAGAGATGTGAACTGCAGCTGTTGAGCACCATGCCAGCCTTTAGTATCTCAGTGCAGAAGGGAGGACAGATGGGATCATGTGTGAGACAGTGCAGATTTTATAGGCTGAGGCTGAAGCTATGTCCAGGCAGAGGCCCATAAGAGCCTGGCTCCAGCTGACTCAGGGGATTGTGTTCCTGACCTGTGGCTTCTCAACTCCCAGTCAGTGATTCTCTTAGGTATTCAGGTTCCTTCAGGTCCAGAGTGCAGGCCATGGAGCCCCTCAGCTTGGGTTACAGCCCATAAACAGTCATCCAGGGAAGAGTAGTGCTAGGTAACTGGCACCCTTGGGCACTTGAGATGTCTGCTCTTCGCCGTCAGAGGAGGACACACTCCACTTGAGGAGACCCTTTAGGTCACAGGTACACAGTACCAGAGGCATATCCCAGGTGGCCTCTTCCCATTTCTTGGCCTCCCCAACAATGAGCTGGAGAAAACACACAGAGAAGGCAGTAAAAGTTTGCATTTATGGAAGAAGAAGATGAAGTATGATAAACACAGTGAGAGTGGACCAGTGAGAAGGCTTACGGTGGCCTGTCACTAAGGGAAAGTGTACTCTTGTCTTTCATGTAAAGAAGGCATTGAGGAAAGGCTGTGAAACAACTTGGCCACATGCCTTCCTAACCAGTCCTATGAGAAAGCTCGGTTGGCCTCCTGTTGCAGCTAAGTGAAGCACATGGAACAGTCTTTTCACAGCTTGTGTCCACACGCAAATGAAGGATTGAAAAGAGTGATTTTGACTGGTCTAACTGGTCCTGTGAACACTACTAGATGCAGATGACAGATTGTAGACTCTCGAGACTGGTCCAGGAGAGCACATTTCTCATTGATTCTGTGAACAGTGATGATGCAGACTCTGCTGTACTGTGTGTCGCTCTCCCTGAAAATGTCCCTCTCCTCCCTGCCCTGTCTTGTAAGGAGCCATCTGTGATCTTCACAGGGCTTCAAAACTTTACACTCAACAAACAGCTGGCCATCTGAGAAAGCAATGATCACCCCACAGGTCTCTCATCCCACCCCATCCTGGAGACTTCCTGTCAGCTTTTCTGACCATGAGGAGCCAGGAGGTGAGGTACACAGTTGTGTCTGTTAAGTGATCCGGGGAACACCATGGACTGCAACATCCTCCTTGAGCAGAGGTCACATCGGGTCCCCTGCCTTGCTTTCCCGGGCTTCATCTGCCAGATGCCATCTCCCCACTGCAGTCCTGAAGCTGGAGCAGCACTACTTTTGAGGACATCTCTGACACAGATGACAGTATCATCTTCCCTAACACCTGCTGGAGGCTGCAAGGGGGATGACAGAGCCCAGAACACATCTTGCACTTCCAAAACTGGCTCTGTCGGCCGGGGAGATAGCTCAGTAGACTAAGTGCTTGCCTGGCAAGTGCAACGGCCTGGGTTCAATCCCTGGTTCGGAAAAAACAAACAAAACTGGCTCTGTCCACTGCGGGGGGGAGGGAAGAGCAGTTGGGAAGGGAATTCTTGTTGTGGTCTGCCCACTAAGGAGAAGCCGGTGAGCCTTGGGGAGGGCATATTCAGGTTTCTGGCAGGGGAGCCAGAGCCCGGCATGATGATTCCCAGGCCACCACAAGGCTGGATTCAAAACTGCAGAAAAGAGGTGCAAATCCCACAGCAGGACTGGGGAGGCAGCGGTCTCTGGCCATAGGCGCCCACAGCACAGCCCCACCTGAGACCAATCCTAAGGCTGGATGGGAGCCAGGACACTGACATCACGGAGTTTGGGCGCAGGCAGATCAGGCACAGGATTTCTTTAAAGAACCATCACATAGCACATGGAGCAGTGCAGGAGAGCTTTCCAATGGAAGCACTGGCCGAGCCGAAGTCTCAGTGAGAAGCCAGGAGCGCGGTGGGGTCCACAGAGATGGGGACACACAGCCTCCTAGTGCTCCGAGGGCAGGAAGATGCCACCCGAACTTCACAAGGCCCCACTCCTCCCAGAGAGGCTGCGCCTGCTGTGCGATAGGGGGATTCAGTGAAGAGCTTCAAGCTGGGGGTGCCCAGTGGGATGTGGAGGTCAGTGCAGGCTTTGAGGGGGCAAGCAGGCTGGCACACGCAGCGGCGGGGAGAGCAGAAGCAACTGCAAGCATGGAGGCGAGCAGCTTGAGGAGAGCATGAGGGCACCGGATGACCACGGACAGGACTTTAGATGGCTTGGCGTGAGCCAGGGAACGGCCTGCTCAGCTCACCTTCACGATGCAGAGAATGGGGAGGAGGAAAGACATGTTGGAAATTTGGAAGAACTGGATGATTGATACTGGTAAAATATATGCAGCGTCAAAAGTATTGTGGGGATTTATGGTAAAATAGCAGGGCAAAGACGTCCCAATGGCTGACTTGACAAACCCCAAGGATCATCTGTCTTCAGATTTATCCTCACTGGTACTCTGTAAGGAGGACCATACATTGTGTGGGCTACAGCACGCGGAGTTAGTAACGTCACCTGGTTCCTGCCATACTGAAGTTAATGTCCCAGAGAAATGATGAAGGATCTGAGGATGCAGGCCATGAGGGTAATTTTGGATAAATTATGCATTGGTGCTTCCCAGTGAAATAACAAAGTAAATGAGGCAGGGTACTTTACAAAGCAAGATTTATTTATTTTGCATGGTGTGGAGGTCCAGGATTGTGGGCCTGGTGATTGGCAGCTCTCCTGAGGTCTTCCAGCTATGTCACAAGTATGTGGCCTGCGGCCGGCCAGACAGCTCAGCCAACTAAAGCACCTGCTTAGGCAGAGCGCAGAGGCTGGGGTTCGATCCCCTGCATGCCGTGCCGGCCCTGCCCCTGAAGCGTGCTGAGAAGGCAATAGAGTCTGGGCGTGGTGGTGCACACCTAGAATCCCAACACTTGGGAGGCTGAAAGCAGGAGAATCACTACAAGGCCGATCTAAGTAGTGAGACCCTGTACTAAATACATTTTTTAAAAAAATGTGGCCGGATGGTGGGAAATTGTGAGCATGCAGGCAAAGATTTTGGTAGACCAGACACCTAGAGGTGAAAATACTTACACCAGGAGCACGTTCACATAAAATTGTAAGGCTGTAATTAAAATAGGTCAGGAGCTGGGGAGATAGCTGAGTGGAATAAGTGCCTGCCTGGCAAGCGCAAGGTCCTGAGTTCAATCCCTGGTACCACCAAAAAATAATAGTTCACCAGTAACAAATTTAAAAAGGCTAGTCCTTTTGAAATAAAAAGTTTTTTGTGTCAAAAAGCATTCTTAAAGTGAAAAGCCAGATTAAACACGAGAGAAAATATTTGCAACTCATGCTTCTCATAGGGGTCTATGACTCTTTTAACAGCAAAAAGACATTCCAATTAAAAACGGGCAAGCAGATGTGTAGACACCTTTCCAGACAGAGAGTGCAAAGGCCAGTGTACCCGTGACAAGGTGCTCCAGGTCTGCAGTCGCTGAGATCTACAAATCAGAGCCACCAGGGCTCCTCCTCCCCCACCGGGATGGTCTCAACTGAAGAAAGAAATGTGCAGGGAAGTTGGCATCCCGAACCTTCCTGGTGGGACATTATGTGGTTCAGTCACGCTGGAAAGCAGTTTGGGATTTCCCACTGAAGCTACATATAGTAGATTTGGCCATATAGTTCAAGGGACTAAAGCTCCTGCCTAGGCAGACTCGGAGGGCCAGGAGCCCAGCTGCCGGGGCATGCCGAGACAGATTGAGACTGGGCAAGTTGGGTCACACTGTAATCCCAGCACTTGGGAGTCTGTAAACAGGAGCATCGCTGCAAGTCTGACCTATGCAGTGAGACCCTGTAGACCCCGTCTTAAATACAAAAAAAAAAAAGCTACATATAGTTTCTGTATGACCTAATATTTCCATTCCACCATAATTGAGTACATATGCAAAAGAAAGAACGCGTGTCCTAACAAATTCATGTAGGAACGAGCCTGATAACTCAGTGGACTAAAGTGCCTGCTTAGGCAGAGCACAAAGGCCGGAGTTTGCTGGGCGTGCAGTGCAGGCCTCGCCCCCAGGGTGCGCTGAGACAGACCTTGAGACTGGGTGAGGTGGCACACGCCTGTAATCTCAGCACTTAGCAGGCTGAAAACAGGAGAATCACTATGAGTCTAATCTACAAGGTAAGAACACCCTGAACACCCTGTAGACCAGGTCCTAAATACAGAAATATAATAATAATAGTACAAAAACTAACAAATACATGTACATGCAGATGAATAGCACCTGCATTTACATACAAGCAAATGAGTGAAAACCCAGACGGGTGCTTGAGTATATAAACGATGTGTATTTCCACAGTGCAATACTATACCACCATACCAAAAACATATTGAACAAAAGAAACAGACACAAAAGGTCACATACGTGCTACAATTTATACAAAATGTTCAGAGGAGGTAAATGCACTTAGAACGCAGAATGGTGAAGTCCAGAGCTGTAGGGAAAACAAATGTGGACGTACTGCGTAATGGGCGCAGCTTCCTGCTGGGGCACGGAAAGCTTCCCAGAGCCACTCAAAAGTGGTGGACGCACAACACCCTGAACGCCCTGTTTAAGACTGGTGGCTTTGTGATGAGTCCTAAACAACGAAATTCCAGAAGAGCTCAGTTCAGTTGGTGATGGCTGCCCACTAGAGACAGGTAGAGCTTGCATATGATCAGGAGCGTTAGTACTGTGTAAGTGACCCACAGGCAGGGCGAAGGAATGCCGATGCCTGGACCGCAAGGTCGACGTGCAGGACTACCTAAGAGGGCAGAAGACTACTAAATACAGCAGGTACGATGAGCAGCTCCGTGTGAGTACAAAGACACAGGCCAGTTTCTGATGAAAAGGAAAATTTTCTTGAAGATGAATCTAAAACGAATTTAAAGTGCTGAATAGAATTTATGTGCTAGAATTGTTGGAGATGCTCTCATGGGGACGAAGATACTTGCTATCCATGCAAGACCGAAGGCATGAAATAGGGCACCCTGGTTGCCACAAAACCTACGAGTTGGGCACAGACCAGAAAGAGCAGCTTCTGAAGAAGCTAGACTGTGTCCCTGGGTCTCATGCAGCGCTCTGCACAGACCAGCTGAGCAGGAAATGTCAGATAAAAATAAAATTAAAATGTGCACTTCTTTAAAACTCAAAGCACCAGCAAAACCATCACTGGAATAAGAATGTCTAGCAGCATGGCTTTGAACTTAGACAGTCGGGTTAAGGCACGTGTGCAACAGGACTGGAGGTGCCAGGAAGCACACTGTTACCACAGTAAGGGGCACGGGCACGAGTCTGAGAAATGTTTGCGACCATCAGAATCCGGTGTGGGCTCCATTCTGGGACCTATAGTGCACTCTGGGCTCAACAGGAGCTCTGCAGCCCAGAGACGCTGATGATGTGGCACAAGGGAGGGACAGTGGGGGGAGAGCAGAGCATGTCCACGGTGCGCTGAGGTGACAGACGGTGCAGATGTGCGTCAGGCTGCTCCCAGCCTACATGTGCTTTTCTAGTGAGCCAACTTCATGGAGTTTGGACAGGGATTTGGGGATGCAGAGGGGACTGCCGGCATGCACAGGAAGTGCAGCCCTCATGGGGACGAGAACCTGCCGCAGAACAGCAGGCTGCTCGTCCTGTTGTGCCTGATGAAGAACAGGAAGGGGCGGTCAGCACAGAACACAGGCAACGACCTTGCACAACACACTTCAATCTCACAAGCTGCTGCTGCTGCAGCCTCGGTGCCTTCTTCGTTGACCTCCACCACACTCTTGTGTATGAACTTGGACAGACACAGGTCACTGTCAACTGACATCCCAGACAGGTCTGACTTGCCCGGATGAAAGACATCCAGAACGCCGAGACCCTGCAGCACAGAGCCCATGTCATAATCCTCTTGCAGCTTAAATCTCGGAAGGGAAACTTCTATTTCGATGCTCTTCATGTGCTTTGGGCTGGCCCAGGTTTGGAATTTCTCAAAAGTGAGGGCTTTTTCCACCTGAAAGACCAGCATTAGACTTTACCATCAGACCACAGTCCCCATCCACCATGGTCCCTTCCAGGAGCAGACAGGTAGGTGGTGCCCACTGTCACACACTGTCCCCACAGCTGGCGAGAAGCTTGTGAGGTTTGAGCTTGTCCTGCTACCGTCGCTTGGGCTGCCACGTCAGGCGCAGCTTCCTGACATACGATAATTGCCTCCCCTACTCAACAGCCCTGCACACCGTGTCTACTCCAGGGCAGGGGGCTCTGGGCATTTGTGCTTTCTGAGATTTTTGTTTTCTGAATGAGGCTTACTTGTGGAGCAGACAAAGCATTGCTCATGAGCAAGGGACCAAAGGGCTGTCCTGTGAGCCACCAGGGCAGAGGCCTCAGGCTGCAGGGAAACGGGACTGCTGGCAGGGAAAGACAGCAGGAGGGCCCCACTAGGCTCCTTCACTAATCCTGAAGAGAAAGATGCAAAGATCCGCAGAGAAAGCCCCTTGGAAAGAATTACAAGGTCAAGGAAGGAGAAAAAAGCAAACGCAGACATAAAAGACACAGACCGCACAGATGGCACTGGGCCTTGCCGGTGGCAAGCAGACAGGAAGAGCACGGAGGTCAGGTGCACAGAGCCAGGACAGCGCCCTCCAGGCCCGACACAGTGCACGGGGCGGGGGCCGGGCCCCTGTAGGGAGAGCGCCTGCTCAGGGCGCGCAGCGTGTTCCACACCCAGGCGCTTGCAAGGTGTTTTCCTCACTGGAGGGTCTCTGTGCTAATAGAGCAGATGCACATGTCGCCTACTAACTCTCAACTGACCTTCTAGAAAGTCCCTCCCAACCAATCAGCTTCTCCTTCCCAAGATAGGTCTTGGAATGCAAACAGACAGAAAATATTCAGACCAAATGCACTAAAACAAATAGCTACACAGGCAGTGTTGCCTTGTTTTATCCCAGGCCAGCCCAGGGAGCCAATGAAATTGAGATAAGTTCCATGGGATTGAGGGTACCCCCAAAACATCATAAAAGAAGCCAACCCCAAAGGCCCATGGGTGTCAGCCTCCCCAGGCCCCTGTCCTGTCTGGAACAGCTTCCTGGCTTGTGCTTTTTCCAGCAAATGCAGTGTCTCCTCTGTTCAGCTGTGTCCCTCTAGTTCACTATGGGTGCTGAGTTTAGCATCCCAAGCAGCTGCTCATTCCAGGGGACCTCACTATTGGACATGACTAGGTGGGGCTCACAGTGGTTTTAGAGAAGAGTATACTAGGTCAGGAGGGAGACAGAGGGACAGCTATGGGCAGGAGTGCCTGCCATGTGGTTCTGATGGGAAAGGACATGGGTTGTCACCAGGTGCTCCAGGCAGGATGGAAAGCACACCCCAGCCCCCTGACTCACCGTGCTCAGGTCCACGCCCTCATCTGGGAGCACCACGACCATGCTCAGCTCCCGGCCCTGGTAGGGCAGCTCCAGCACCTGGGCCTGGACCTCGCTCACACGAGCCAGAGGAAATGTGTGACTCTGGAACATCATCTGCACCGGCCTCTGCTCCTTCTGCGGGGTGAGCAGAGGGGCACGCATGTCACAGGGATTCTCCAGGGAGCAAGAAAACCACCCCAAGCGGCTGACTTAGCGCTCCAGCACCCAGGATGGAAACAGTGCTTGCACTCTAGGGGAAACCTCAGGCAGCGCTTCCCACAGGCATGACAAGCCACGGAGTAGGCAGAGGCAGGAGCAGCTGGGGAGCTGTTGTGGCCAGCAGCATCCGATGGGAAGCCTGGAATGTTCCTCGTGCTGCTGCTTGGCTGAGAGAGGACCCCGAGTGCCATGCAAAAGAATATACGAATCACGAGACAAAGTGCATCTTACTTGAAAATGGAGGGGTGGTTGAACACGTGTAAATGTCCTAAGTGTTTCCTTGCTAATTAGTTTTCTGTTTTTCAAGGGATTATAGGACTTGGCAAATTATTTTAATTCTGCTTTAATTTGAAGTTAAAAATGTCAGCACCTTGGTCTTTGAACTTGATTTTAATATTAGAAATGTGGCTGGGGAAACAGCTCAGCAGCAAAATGCGTGCCTGGCAAGTGCAGGTTCCTGAGTTTCACCCCTAGTACCACCAAAAAAAGAATTAGAAATTTGAAAATGCTAAATTAATTTTAAAGTTAACTAAAAACAATACAAGTGAGTACTTATATTAATTTAAAAATTGCTTGAATAAAAATATATCTTTTCACGTTTCCTGACCCTGCAAGTGTCCCCAACATGTCACAATATTATGACACTTTTTTCTTACTTAGGCAATTTGGATTTAAAGGAAACTTTTCAGTTTCCAGACTTAGGTTGCAGCGATCGATGCAGGAGATGTTATCAGAGACAGGAAGTGCAATAACTTATGCAAAAAAATTATCAGCAGCAAATATTCTTTATTTTTATATTTCTCTAGTGAGCTTATAATTAAGACATATAGTTCAAATGATTGATAATCCATTATGCCTTACAATGTTAAATTTACAACTGAATTTCTTTATCAAATGATTTTGTTTGAGGCTTCTCCCTACCTGGTTTATTTTGAAAGGCATTTCACTTGTGCTTGACTTCTCAAATTGTTCTTCCCACCTTCCTTTGAAGTAGACAGCATTGATAAGAACCAGTCTGCATGCCTCATCAATTGAATCCTTGGCTAACAACTTTTGAATTTTGCCTGTTGATAAAAGCAGAGACTGCATTCAGCGACTCTTTAGAAACACCATAATAAACCAACTGCAGGACAATGGCCTGACAGGTGTAAATATGACATTTGTAGGCTAGCTGAGTTAGGACTGTTAAGAGTTAAACAGAGAAAATCAACTGCTAGACGCGGTATTCATGCATCTGGACCCCTGGGGAATATCCCCAATGAAGGCAGTGACAGGCTTCTGAGACACTCAAGAAAAGCTTGTCATGAGAAAGAAAGCACAGGTTGGAGATTCACCAGGCAGGAAGTGAGAGTTGTGCTGGGTGGGACCTGCAGTGCCCTAGTGGTTCAATGGGGTGGGGGGTGGGGGCTCTGTGCTCATACCTGGAGGTATCACTGGGCAGTGAGGAGTCAGTGTGAGGGGCAGCAGCACAGGGATGCAAAGGGAGGAGGTGGAAGAGAAACTGCTGTTGGATCCTCCAGACAGAGCATCAGGCCTCCTTGAGGAAGAGAATGTGGGCCCACCGGATTCCCTCCTCCTCCCCATTGCTGAGTATTCAAGGAAAACTACCTGCCACTTGCTACAGTCTTATTTGCTAACAGAGATAGCAGCGCTCCTAGCGGGGCGCAGGCATGCGAACAGTTCACACCTCCAGCCGCCATCGCTCCTGCAGACCACAGCTTAAACACATCACTATGTGGTTGGGAAATGAAAGAGGATCCAGCAAAAAAGGAAAACGATGTGAGGAGTGCGGAGGAGCAGAGAGAACCCCCAGTGCTGACCTTGGGTCTTGGTGGACACCCAGGCATTGATGTGCCTCCTGGCGCTCTCTGGAGATTTGGCAAAGGACAGCTGCTCCAGCTCGGCTTGGTAGAACTTCAGGCAGGACTCCTGAAATGGCTGTGGGCAGAGATGTGTCTGGTGAAGCCCTAGAACTGCACAAATGTCAGCTAGTTTTCAAGCATTCTGATTACTACCCAGTACTTTGAGAACTTCAAGAGGCATATGTGTCCCTTAGGAGATGTCACCCTGAGTCTATGTGATGTCAAATACCAATCTCTATGTAGGGAAACACTGAATCTGTAGTAACTGGACAGGAATGAAAGAACTGTACAGATCTCACATGGGAAGTCATGGAAGGCTTCCTTTGAAAGCTCTCTCATCAGAGAAAACAGGGTTGCCTGTCGGTTCCTCAAGTTCTCTGGGTCCTCCCCCTGGGCTCTGGGCCACCAGATATTTTAAATCAACTTGCCCCATTCTGGAGACTCAACTCACTGAGAGGAACTGGCAGCTCTCTTCTCCAAAGAGCCGGTTCGCTATGCTGAGGGAATATGGAGCGCCAGGCCTGTGCACTTGGGTGAGAAGCGACTGGAAGCCACCGTGAATGTCCTCCTCAGCATTCACTGCCAGTGCCTGTGGGAGAAGCCAATGCCCATTGTCAGTACTGTCCTTGCTCATATCTTTCCTCAACTATCTTCTACTTTTCTCATGAATTCCCTTTTAATCAACTGTAGGTTACTTAAAATAAATTCCTACAACCCACTGGGAAAAAAATACTGTCTGCTGGTCTTACAAAGAGTTCACACACGCACACACACACACCCCCAACAAACAACCCTTTTCTTGAGTCCTCCTGAGATGATCCTATGCAAGGAACTTGTTTGCTTCCATGTTTTGAGTCAAGATCTAGTTACAGAGGCAGGACTGGACTCAATTTCATGGTGATTCTGAGGCTCAGCCTCCTGTGTGTTGGGATTGAGGCGGGCACCGCCACACCCAGGAGGCCACTTTACTTCACTTGAGCAGTGTGCATTCTACAGAAGAGCCCCTGGTGGGCTGGTGCAGACAGAGAGAGGGGCGGGAACCGGAAGTCAAAGGTGTGGCTCTTCTGCCTGCTCAGGATGCAAGGGGAGTACGGAAAGTGCAAAGGGTCAAGAGGCTCAGGATGGAGCTGTTATAAAGCCTGCATTCCGCGCTGCGCAAGAATACACCAGAACCAGAGGAAAACTGATCTGTCAAGTTTACTTCAAAAAGAAGAGATTTGATTAAAGCACTAAAAATGGAAGGAACATGTGCAGGAATAGAATCACAGTGGGAATCTTAAAAGGAGACAAGGGTATGAAAGAAGCAACAAGATTAACAGGACTAAATCAAGAGTTCTTAAAATTATATCCTAGAGAGATTACTTATTACATATACTTTAAGTGTTAGCTTAACAGTTAAACATACAGGAGTCCCTCACTATTTCGCAGTTCAACTTTTGCGGACTCACTGTTTCGCAGGTTTTCAAAAAAATTTTTTTCCTTTTATTTTTTTTGGCGGAACCGGGGATTGAACTCAGACCCTTGCGCTTGCCAGGGAAACACCATCTCCCCAGCCCCTCAAAAAATATTAATCTAAATAATTTATCATGGGTTTTTCACTATGTAGTGGGATTTTGTGGTCGTGTACAGTTCTGTATACGTATTTATATGCGTAGTATTTACTATGACTTTAATGATTTTACCTAAAAAGTTTAAAATATATAAAATTTATTAAAATTTTAATTCTACCATATTAAAGGAGTATTAAATCGAAATAAAATACACTACTTACAGTATGTATTTCTTTAGCAGATGAATACATACTGTACCACACAGCATACATATGTTGTTCAAATTACATAGGTTTGAGTTTAGAAAATGGTTAGGAACATTACAAATGTTTTTAAAAATGTGGGAAAGGTTTATAAGAGTGTGGGAAGATTTATAAAGCCTTAGAAGATATATAAATACTAAAATAAATATACCATTGGTGCTTTACTGATTTTCACTCATCGCAAGGGTGTCGTAACCCCACGGCAGGTGAGGGGCCACTGCATCTATTAGTCTATTAGAAAAGTCTCAATTGATTCTGAAATATGAACACTGTAAGATTGCAGTTCAGCATGGCAGGACATGCCTGCAATGACAGCCATCTGAGAAGCAGGAAGACTGCGGATTTCAGCTCGATCTGAGCAACTTGGAGACTGAGCAGCAGCATCTCACAATAAAAAGGCGCCACTGTGTCCTCTGTTGCTGCTCAGTGTGAACATTTTAGGATCCATTTCACCGTACAGGAAAAAAATTATATAGGGTTTAGGCTCTGACATTAATGTATTATCGTAGAAATCAATCTGAGCCTTAAGTTTCTTTATGTATAAAAAGATGTAGTTGGGATTGCTTCCAAGGTCTCTTCAACTTTGTCTGCTTATGCTTCTTTTCTTGAAAAATGCTGGGACATTTCACTGATTATGTTATATTTTGAAATGATGTTGTGTTTTAATGAATATCTGTGTTCTGTGCACCTGACCTCAATAATTATTAATGTGCAGTCATGTTTTAAAGTTTCATTTGTCACAAGAATAATAGTTTACCATTTTTAATTTAAAAAAAAAATACATACAAAATACCAATCACGTGGAAATGACACCCCTGTGTCATTGTTAAAAACACTTTCATATGCCAGGAGTGGTAGCTCACACCTGCAGTCTCAGCATTCTGAAAGGATGAGGCTGGAGAATCTCAAGTTTCAAGTTCAGCCTGGCCAACCAGGTTAGGATGACTCTCAACCTTTTTTTAAAGGGCTGGGAATAAATGGTTTTTAACAGGCATGGCCCAACGTGAAGGCTCTGCCTTCATGTTCAATAGGCCTCTCTCCTAAGTAACTGCCATGCGTGACAATCAAAGTGCCACTCTAGTCTCTATCAGTAATGGTTCCGAGTAGGCAGTGCAGTCACCCGGATTCAAACGTTACCCAGTTATCTCTACAGGCATCAAAACCTCAGTTATTCCACAAATGCAATTTGTCAGCTTATGTATATGAATTAAAATGCATTTAACTTTTTTAAATCTGGAAAAATGGATATGATTCCACCCATGACAATGAAGAAACAATAAAAGCAACAGAGAACTACTTCTCAGAGGAGTTATGTGATCCTTAAAAGATTAGTTCTAATATTCAACAATTTTATTCCTATTGATACTGCTCCGTAACAGGAAAAGTTGAAGAGCTGCAAAATCATTTTATAAAGAAAATGCCAGTAATTGCACAAATGCCAAAAAGAAAATGTCAGCAATTGTACAAATGCCACTCTACTCCAAGCTTAAAATATGGTTCAGATGATAAACTGCATATGTACAAGAAAAATGTAAGAAAGGAAAGTAAAAGAGAAGCCAGTTTCACTTAAGATAGTGGCATCCCTGTGACTGCTGGTAGCTGACTCCCGTGGAGAAGATGTTTTACACGAATGATCTCACCAAATCCCAGCGGGAACTGAGAGACCATTGATAGAAGCGAAGACACAGTTCCTAATCAAAGTGTCAAATCTCAAACTAAAATCTAAAAGGGGCCCTTGGGACAGCACAAAAATGTTATCTATTCTCAGGTGTTTGTGTCTGCAACTTGAGTCCATAGGAAATTTTCCTTCCTCCTGCTGCAATTATTAAAGCTGTTGATAGCATGAAAACAGAAACCATCTTTAGAAATCCTTGTGTGGCTCTGGTGCTGAGGCGGCCCAGGCCTGTGTGTGGCTACAGCGCACACACAGCTACTGAGCACAGGGATCCACTGGGCAGGGGCAGCAGGGAGCCCACCCCAGTGTCCTTCAGCTGCCAGACAAGCAGGAAGAGGCTCCCTTACAGGGCTCCTCACCGAGCTGAGCCCAGCGGTCCCTAAGAAGCCTGAAAAGGAGCTTGCCCTCTGGGCATCCACCTCAGGCCCTGCCACAGTGAGGAGGGAATGGAAAAAGAGCGGCCTTGCTGAAAGGGCCCTGCCAGCAGTGCTGGTCACACTGAGACCAAAGTGACAGAGCTCAGCAAATGCTGTGCAGAGCTCTGCGCAGGGGAACAGACGCCAGGGGCTGGCCTTGGTGGTTGACTCAGGCACAGGCCCCCGGCCCACCCTGAGATCCCCCAGGGACAGGGACTGGGCCTAGGACCTTTCAGATGTGGCCTGGCATGGCACTGAGGGAAGAGCTGCTTGGATCCCTAGAGGGATCCGCTCCTATTTGGCCCAGCCCTCCCACACTGTTTGCCCCCTCACCCAGATAGCAAAAAAGCAATGAAAAATTATAATGCAAATTCTTCAGCTCCAAAAGGAGACAGACCTCAGCGACTTTTGGGCCAAGGAATTCCAGCATCTTTTTCTTCTTCTTACCCTTGTAGTGCTGGGATAAAACCCTGGGCAATCCCCCACCACAGTGCCAGCCCAGTCTCAGCTCCTTTCCTCAAGGAAGGGCCAGGAAAACTTCCTGTCTTTTCTGAGTTATTATTCGGGGAAGACCCCCTGCCTCTCCAGAACCATTGCAAAGCACAAAACCTCAGATCATGGAAGGAGGCAGGGACAGGAAAGCCTACCTGAGCAATCTGGGCGGCCGTGCTGCCCTTGGCGCCCAGCAGGACCATGCCCAAGGCCGAGGAGATGCTCACGGGAGAGAAGAAGACATTGCGTGCTGGGTCCTCCTGACCCAGAAGCTTTAAAAGGCGGATGGCAAAGGCGCCATTGGCTTCCGACAGCGGGTTCATGATGCAGTCTAGAGGCAAAGAGGAAGGGCCACGTCAGGCAACTCACCTGTGTGCACTGCCAGGTGGACACTGCATGGAAACTGCTTTTGGTTTTTCATTGCAAATCTTCCAAATATTTCAGTCTTACCCTAAAAGGTCCATTTCCTGCCACTCTCTTTTCAAAACCATGCCCAGATTTCAGGGGAATTAGCTAAGAGTGAAGGTGGCAGCAGCGCAGCGCAGCCTGAGAGCCTCAGGGAACCCCGGAGAGCTCGCTCCTCTGCACAGGTGGACAGACAGAGGCGTGCACACACAGGACGCAGCGGTGCCAGGTGAACTCCTGCCCCTCCCATCAGGGCACCTGCTATATCCTGAGGAGCAGGCCAGAGTCAGGGATGAAGAGGACAAGAAGGACGAGGAGGAGGAGGGACAGAGGGAGAGCAGAGAGCGGCACGGAGGAGCTCTGCCTGGCTTCAAGGGCCCTCCCTGTGCTGTTCTCGCTTGTCGTATGGAGCATCCCCGTGCCATGCGCAGCCGGGCACCAGACCGTGAAGGAGCAAGGCAGAAGCTGCGGCCTGAGGCAGGCTGATGTCAGCTCTGCTGGGAGGCCAGAGCTTCTGCTGCAGGGCGGCTCAGGGCCAGGCCAGCTGGGGGCGCCCCTGAGGGTGTCCCGGGCCCGGCTGACCTCTCCGCACAGCCCGAGTCCAGTTCAGTTCCTCCTCATCCCGCCCTGCTCCGGAAATCATGTGAAGGACACCCTGGACGCAGGGAGAAAACACTGTCGTTCTCCTGCGACTGCTCCCGTTTTCCCCCAAGAAACTAAGAACATAGCGCCTTCTCTGCCTGTCCTGTCCCTCACAGTGACCGCTGAGCCCGCTTATGCTCTGCCCTCTCTGAAGACCCCTGTGCCTTGGCCCCGACGCCCAGCCCCTCACCCCCAATCTCAAAGTTGCCCGCGCTGCACCCCTCCCTCCTTCCTGCCAGTGCTGCCCTCCCTGCTGCAGTGTAGCCTCTCAGGGACTACGACCCCGCCTGCAAGCAGTGGGGACAAGGACCCTGTCCCAGGGGACGCAACTCAGGAGAAAGAAGGCTTCTGTCTCCTGGGGGTGAGTGGCAGGAAAGACGAGATGGGTATGGGCGCTGCGGGTGGACGGAGACTGGGATTGGACCGAGAACAGGAGCAGGGGGCGGGGCTGCTGCATGGAAGACAGGAGGGCTGTGGCCTGAACAGCCCAGCTAAACCCGGCCACCATATCCCCTCTGCTCCAGAGCTGCAGCTGCTGGCGCCGCCTGCCTGAGCTGGGTCTCTCCACGCACTCTCCTTCCCCAGGGCAAGAAGCTGGCCTGTCCCCTCCCAGCCCGCCACACCCCAGGCTCACCTTCCAGTCTTGCGTCTTCCTGACTGGAGCCTGAACCCCACCCGATCAACTTGGACCACTGCTGGGTCAGGCTGGAACGCAGAGGCTTTTGTGGGCTTGGAGGCTGGGGCGTTGGAGGCTTCAGGGGCGGGGCTGTCCTTTGCTCCTGTCCCGCCTCCTGCCCAGCGGTGGTCCAGCGGGGCTGCAGGGATCCCCCCCAGCAGAGGAGGTGCGAGGTCCTTAGTGCGCAGAGGAAGCCAAACCTGGCTCTGGGAAGGATTCAGTGGTGAGAGTGAAAGTGAAAGCCCCTCGGGGCCTCCCAAGAAGCAGAACCTGGGGGGGGGGGGCTGCTTGGCATCACAGCCCCTGGGGAGGCTGCCCCAGGAGGATGGTGACTTGGAGGGCAGCTTGGAAAATTTAGGGAGACCCTGGCTCAAAATTTTCATAAAAGGGGTAGGGTTGAGGATATAAGAAGGTCCTGGACTCAAGCCTCACTACAGCCCCTGCCAAAAAAACAAGGAGAAAAAAAAAAAACAAAAAAACAGAGGTCAAAGACTACTAAAACCCCAGCTTTCTTAATTCAGGAAACCAAAATAAAACTAGAAGCCCTCCTCTGACCCATGCCTGGGCCTTCTGACTGCTGTGTTTGCTCCTGCTTCTCCTGCCTTGGGGAGACACTGAGAGGTCTCCGACTTCACTGGGGAGGTCAGTCCCCTTTAAAACAAAGGAACCCTGGAAATGAATTCAAAGTGTTTGCCCAGCAAGTTCCCCACACAGTTTGGTCATCCTCGCCCAGGACCCACAGAGCCCAGCCTCAGCTCCTAGCTCAGCCCTCCTCTGACCCATGCCTGGGCCTTCTGACTGCTGTGTTGGCTCCTGCTTCTTCTGCCTTGGGGAGATACTGAGAGGAACCTGCTCAGGACAGTGACCTTGTCCTCTGTGAGCAGACACAGGTGCAGGGACCACGGCCAGAGCAAGTTTCCTTGAAGCACTGGAGACCAGAAAGCTCCCACCCTCTGTGGGCCTGCGCAGTCTCAGGCAGAGGCTTCTAGAAGCCTGAGGCTTCTACAGACCTTTCTGTAACGATGTCCAGAGGAGCACAGGCTGTGGGACGATTTCTGGGAAGAGGAAGCTTTTCCCAAGGATTCTCTCCCCTATTTGAAGTTTCTCAGACGCCTGCAGTCTCCTGAACCCTGACTTGAGGTGAGGCCTGCTGGGGTCCTCTAAATCCCTTGGATGCCAACCCTGTCTTGGGAGGATTCCACCCTAATACTGATAAGAGAAGAATCCTGGGCCCGCAAGATAGACCAGTGATAAGAGAAGAATCCTGAAATTCCAGAGCAAGGTCAATGGCAGGAAGAGGAGCCGGAAAAGATAAGAGCTTCCAACTAAGCCCACAAGGGAAGTAAACAACTGTACCACCTCCTTTCCTCAGCTACTGAAGCTTCACCACTGGGTCACATCTCCCTTGGTGTCTGTAAAGTTAACTTTCTGCATGGAGCACCTGGGACTTGGCGGGCTTTGCCTTGTTCTTCCGCAGCATTGCCAGGCAATGTTGAATCAATGTAAATCATTTATGGATTTTTCTCCCCCAATTTCCACTATAAAATTTCTGGCTCTTTAGTTCCAGAGGATGCTTTTCAAGCTGGACAGCATAGGCCTGCAATGCCAGCACCTGAAGACTGAGGCAGGAGGATCACCATGAGTGAGCTCAAGTCCTGGCTAGAGTACATAGCAAGACCTTGTCGCAAGAAACCAGCAACAACAATAAAAATACACTTGGGGGATTTTTCCAGCTGCTCCTTGGCCAGGTATAGTGGCTTAGTGCCTTCACCCAAGACTGGTCCTTTTATTGTTTACTAACACTGGAGGAGCTTAATGAACTCACTTACTTCAAAGATCCCTCGGCCTCACAATTCTGCTTCAATGACATTCATCACTTTACAGCACACAGTTCAGTAGTAGCTGTACTGTGTTCACACAGCTGTCCAACTGTCACCAGCACCTGGCTGTAGAAGACCTTCCCCACTTCCAACAGCCATGGGACGCAGGTCCAGGTCCAGGCACAGCCTCTAGCCTTCGCCTTCCGGGCCGCGAAACACCAGGGCCGGGGCTGCGTCTGTGCGTTGGGTGATGGTGAGTACCTGGCATACGCGGAGTCACTCAGTGAGGCCTTTAGGGACTGCTTTCCGGGCTAATCCAACGCGTTTAGGTTTCACTCTTCAAGGGTCAGCATAGCACTTAGCAGCTGTTGATTTTTATGAAGGAAGACTATCCATAATCATACTGCTGTGTGTGTTCATTTTATTTCTTTATCATGGCCACACATTTGGATGGTTTCCACCTTTTGTCTATTGTGAATAAAGCTGTTATAAGGTATTCACTAATAATTTTATATATAAATGTTCTTCCTTCTACTTACCTTGCCTGTAAGTCTACAAAAGGAATTTCTGAGCCAGGCAGCAAGTCTGTATTTAACTTTTTGAAGATGGACCAGGGTATTAGCAAAGCTACTGTACAGCCTTATGTCCCTACCAAGAATGCAGTGGGCTGATGAAAGTCTCGAACAAATCTTTAAGTTAAAAATTTATTACAGGGTATATTGAGCTGTAGGGGACTCAGGTCAACAATTTCTGACATTGCCAGTGAAACGGAAGACCCAATACTATTATGGACTACTTACATTTTGCTGAGTTAACACACCTATAATATTCAAATAACTGAACTAAACAAAAAAGGGGAAACAGATGAATGTCCATTTTGTATCTATGTATTCAAAATGGTTAGGATAGATACATAGGTACATTCTCTTAATGAATAGAGGGATTTGTTCTAATAGTGTTTGTAAATAGGATATCATGTCTGCATCTGGTACAGCAATTAACCACTAGGAAGAATGTATGCAATGTGTTAATTATTGAAACTGTCCTTCCAATTTGGTTTGAAACTGTCTCATTGCTATTTGTTTCTCAATAAAATTATGCAAAAAAATAAAATTAAATTAAATTAAAATAAGATAACTTAAAAAAAAAAAAGTTACTACAGGGGCCAGGGAGATGGCTCAGTAGAATAAGCGCTTCCCTGGCAAGCGCAAGGGCCTCAGTTCAATCTCCAGTTCCACAAGAAAAAAAAAAATTATTATACTTATCCACATCACTAGCCATTTGAGAAATGCAAATTAAAACAACACTGGGATACCATCTCACTCCAGAAAAAATGGCTATCATAAAGAAGTCAACCAATGTTGAAAAGGCTGTGAGGAAAAAGGAACCCTTCTCCATTGCTGGTGGGAATGTAGACTGGTGCAACCATTATGGAAATTAGTGTGGTGACTTCTCAAAAAGCTAGGACTGGAAATCCCATTCAATCTAGCTATCCCCCTTCTGGGAATTTTTCCCAAAGAACTGAAAACATCATATTGTTGTAGGCAGCTGAATTAAATAGAAATATTATAGGCAGTCAGACAGAGCCAGGCCCTCAAAGAGATCAGATGGAAGACTTTGCAACTTGGAAGAGACAGACACTCCCATATGGGCCACACCTCAAGACCAAGACAAAAGAGGAAACGCAGCTACATTCTTCTCTAAGGACTGGCATCAGGGATTAACATTCTAAAAGCATCAATCACCTTGAAAGAGCCCAAATGAGTCACTAGCCCAACTCCCAACAGGAACAGACCCTGTCCTGTATTCATGCCTGCTTGTTGCATGACTCGCTTCCCCATTTGGTCCTGGACTTAATCACTTTTACCTGAGCAATGGGGTTTGTAATCTCGTTGGTTGACCATAGTTTTGTCCCACCTCATGCCCACCTAAGCGAGTTCCCATGTTCTCTACCACCTTAGACCCACCTCATCACGTGGTTTTCCTCTATAAAAGTCCCTGGAAGAGACATCTTCCCGGAGACTACCTGCTGGGGGGTGGGGGAAGGACCCTCCTGTCTCTCAGACAGGAGCTTTCTTTCCCTCAGTAAATATATTCTGCTCATAACCTCCATGTGTTCCTAAAATTTGTTCTTTGGTTTTAGAGAACACAAACTCATCCCAGGTACCTTTTAAGTTGGGAGGTCAGTTTTTCTCCCTGGGTCATTTGGAGGTTCCCTGCATAAATATCGTAGTGATGTATGTGTGCCTATGTTTATAGCAGCACAATATGTGATAGCCAAATCTTGGAAAGAACCAAAATGCCCATCACTTGAGGAATGGATGAAAAAGTTGTGGTGTTTTTATACAATGGAGTATTACTCTGCTATAAAGAAAAACAAACCTAAAGCCTTCATAGGTAAGAGGATGCAACTTGAAGCTCTTCTCACAAGTGAAACAAACCAAACCCACATGTGTAAATATCATATTATCTCCCTACTATAAGAACTCAAAAGAAGAAATAAAAATTGAAAGGTATAACACGGATGAATAGAAAGAGAACGTAAGGATTAAGCAATGAAGAGAAAGAAAGGAGAAAAGTTAGAAAATACGGTAGGGACAAAACCATACATTTATATATGCAAGATGGATAAGGCAGTGGTCCTAAGAATTTCCATCAGGTTTTTGAAAATAGTCAGTGGGTAGAATTCTCACCCTGACTAACTCTGTATGCTGATATCTGTGAACTAAGCAACTACAGTGAGGAGAGCAATGTGTAATACTAAAACCATGCTTGAAATACCTGTCATTTTGATCTTCTAAATATATACTGTTTCTAATGTCATATCAATCAGTACTATGCCCTCTTTAAAGTAAAATTTTTTTAAAAAGGTAAAAAAAAGAAAATGACAGACAAAAACAAAACTTTAAGGCTTCTTAAAAGCATGTGGTAGGGGCTGGGGAGATGGATTAGTGGAATAAGCGCTTCCCTGCCAAGTGCAAGGGCCTGAGTTCAATCCCCAGTTCTGAAAAAATAAAAAAGCATGTGGTAATATTCAATCATATGTCCCATCTTGCATAAATATATCTGTTAATCTAAGAGCAGATTTGATGATAAAAATAGATAATGTATCAATCGCTGTTTATCAGCTATTCTTGTTTTGAAAATCTGTAAAGTATGACTTGTTATATGTCACCCTGTTTCTGTCTTTGCTTTTCTTTTTCT